TCTATTAATATGAGATGGAAAGGGATTAATCCATGGTGAATCTAAAAAAAAAAAAAAAAAAAAAAAAAACCAAACAAACCTTAAATATACTATGACCAGGTAGTACCGAAGTTTGTTTGTTTTGTGGTGCTGGGCAGGAAGAATTTGAGATCATGTTCATCTGGGAGTTTGGAAATGACTTCACAGGGAATAAAGCAGATGAACATAAAGGACTGGTAAGATTTCTGCAAATACAGATGGACGTAAAATCGTTCCAGGAGGCAGAGAGACTAGGTACTAATAAGGCTAGTACAGATCAAAGGAACTTTAGAGCCTGAGCCTTTGATGCAGACGACACAACTCAAGCAGGGAAATACAGTTAAGTTAGAGCTAACTTATTTTATTCACTAATGCATGCACTTATTCAGCAAATACTTCTTAGTACCTACCAAGTGCAGGCTTTAGTATATCAGAGTAGCTAAAAGTCCTTTTCAATATGTAAAGTCTAAAAATGGTAGCTCTGAAATCACAGTACTAACTCTGATCCTTAGCAATTACTACCAAGTCAATTAATATGCAGCAACGTGCGGGATTTTAGTTGAATACTGCTGCGCGTGGTTTAATATTCTGGGCGAAGGCTGGTAGTTCCAAATTACATTGCTTCTCATTTTCACTTGTTTCTAAACCCACTATGTGAATTAAAATTAAGAGTGAATTTATTTATACTTAAGCTGCAAAATAGGATATTTGTGGCTCTATTTCACAAGTTTTGGTTGTTGTAAGAATGCTGTAGCATGTATTAGTTTTTAAAAAGAAGGGGAAAAGACTTAATAGACACTGTGGGTGATTTTTTTTTTCTGACCAAAAGGATTGTTCCTGATTGAAAAGGAACCGCTGTAAACTTCCTTTAACTAGCCAGCTCCCGGAGAAGCGAGAGCGACCAGTGCATCTGTGGAACACGGTGCGCCGAGATACACCTGCACTCACCCTGTGTCAAAACAATCTGTTTTCCCTCAACCTGGGACTTGACGTGCCTCGCGCCGCGGCGGCGCTGGGAAGGGGCTGGTGAAGGGCGAGGTGGCGGCCACGAGGGCACTTTCCCCTTCTCCAGGTTCCTCACTAAAACCTCGCGGCTGTCAGGTTGGACTCACCTTCCCGCTCGGTTTTCTCTCCCTCCCCGCCTCACCGCTCCGCATCCGCCTCCCGCGCAGGGCAGCGAATCCCGCGGCCCGGGGCCTCCCGGAGC